AGAGGAGATCCTATACACAAGCATACAACTACTCTAATCTCATTCAACCCTGCCACTAAATTGCCAAAGCTTTAGAGAAAAATACACTTTCTACACAGATGATGTTTATGGTGAAGTATTAATGCAAAATATTGTAGAAATAAAAGAAATACTACAAAAAAATTCACCCTTGCTTGTTAGAACAGGCTGATCATTGCTAACTTAAGTCAGCACCAAGACCAAACCTTGCTATGAACCAGCTGACCACAACCCATATATTCAGTGCAAGAACAAACTGTTGGCTTTAGATTTATACAGCATTAAAAACAAAGTATACATAATTATATGTTTTGTCCTCCACTCACCAAGTCTCAGTGTGACACCAGTGAATGCACACTATCTGCCTGTACCTTTATGTCTGGGTTGCAGTTTGAGTCTGTCACATACAGTCCATCAAATGGGTATGCGAGAAGATGCGATACTAAATGCGATTACCTTCATTTAGAAATACGCTGTCTCTCAGAAGTACGTGGAGTCAAAGTACAGTCAGAGTCAGAGCACGGAAACAAACTCTTCGGTCCAACCAGTCTATGCTGACCATAATCCCAAACTAAAATAGTCCCACCTGCTTGCACTTGGCCCATATCACTCCAAACATTTCTTTTCATGTACTTATTAAAATGTCTTTTAAACGCTGTAACTATACCTGCATCCACCACTTCCTCTGGAAGTTCTATCCACAAAGGGACCACTGTGTTAAAAAAACTGCCCCTCATGTATTTTTTAAATCTCTCCTCTCACCTTAAAAATATGCCCCTAGTCTTGAAATTCCCCTCCCTAGAGAATCTGCCATTCACCTTATCTATACCCATCATGATCTTACAAACCTCCGTATGGTCACCCCTCAACCTCCTATGCTCCGTGAAAAATGTCCCAGCCTAGCCTTATAATACTAACGTTCCAGGCAACATCCTGGTAAATCTCTTCTGAATCCTCTCCAGCTTAATATCCTTCCTGTAACAGGGCAACCAAAATTGTACACAGTACTCCAGAAGAGGCCTCACCAATTTCTTGTATAATCTTAATATAACATCCCGACTCCTATTCTCAAGGTCTGAGCAATGAAGGCAAGCATGCTAAATGCCTTAACCACCCCATCTATGTGTGATGCAAACTTCAAAGAATTATGTACCTGAAACCCTAGGCTCTGTTCTGCAACACAACAAGTAAACTTTAATTTTAAAAGCAGAGGATGACAGGAATGGATATTTTTGTTTGAGTCCTTGAAAATCACCATCCCTTGATCCGACTGACATTCAGCTCAAAATCATTTTGCATAAAAAATTATCTCCATATCAACTTAGGTGTTTTGCAAATCCAACACTTAACAGAATTTGGTAGCCTACCCAATGTCACATCTAATTCCTGAAATCACCTACTGAACTCTCCTGTTAGCTTTGCACACCGGAGGAAGTTCTCTAGATGAGATCATTTATCTGTCTTTGAAGTTTTTCCAGTATTTTCTCCAGACTCACGAAGGATTGTAGCATTTTGGTTTTTTTAATTGGGAGGACCATAGACCCAGTTTCAAATTTAATACATTAAGAGCATCATATGCATTAAAGTCACTGTCCTTTCACTGCAGTTCACAGTTCAACTTGCTCAGTTTTGAGGTTATGCCTGAAAGGAATCCAGTGTCAAGCAACCACACATCATGTAACAACTCACTGTACATTTCATTCCTTGATTTAAGGGAAAGTAACAATGTTTGGCATCAGATCTAAAAAACCTTAGCAGGACCTTCCTTCAACTTAACCACCTCAAATCAGCATGGAGGATTACTTCACAATAGGCAGAGTTTGTCAAGTAATGATTTAAACAAACAGAGCTGAAGGGTTCTAGCTTGAATCAAGTTTACAATCTTATTTTTGATTACTTGAGAAAAGTCCACAGCTTTACTTGTTAATGCTTGTGATGGATTATATACTGGTAATTGACAAAACAGGGATTACCAGGACCATTTCTGCAAAGTGCAAAGTCCATATTTGTGCCAAACATGACGGTGTACCATCAGTTATGATAGTAACCAGTTTCTTGATTAGAAAGTTTTTCAACCATGTATCTTTTGCATTGGTTGTAGATATCCACATCTCTTATTCACTCTTTTAAGGGGCAAGAGCATGAGAAAATCCTTAGTGGTTATATCCTTAAAAACCGTGCAAACAAAAACACAGCTGGGTTCATACCAATGGAGTTATCAAAGTGCACTGAGAAGCATTTGCCATCCTTCAAATTTAGCTGTTGTTACTGAAAGATGTCTTCAGGCAAATGTTCCTCTCACCTTTGAAGCACCAAATGGCATGTTTTGGATTCCCACTATTATTTCTTCTTTGGCCTCAAAGTCTTTGAAGAAAGAGCCAGTGGCCTTAGTCATTGTTTCTTTAATTAATTCGCCACCAGTGAAAGAATGCGTGTATTTCATCAGAGGAGAGCTTTGAAAAGGGTCTTCAGCTCACTGACCTTCTTTGGCCAAAGCATGTCATTCAAGGGAAAACTATCCTTAAATTTACTACGCAGCTTCAGGGTGCCATTCCAAATTCCTTCTCTAACTTAATAATTTGGCACTGGTCACTCTGCAGCGAGGCCTCTGGAACATCCGGAATGCTGCTGGCTGCTTTCAAGTGGCAAGGTACAGGAGGTCACATCTGTGGTCGAGACTTGTATCTACGGCTCCTGGTCAGCTTCCATTGCTTGGATAATGGATGTGAGGATGCAGCTACACTCCCCATATTTTGCCTTTATCTGCATGGGCCTATTAAGTAAGCAGGTGTACAGAGAAGAGGCAAAGGAGATCTGGCTGAGCTGTTTTTGCAAAGAATCCACATGAGCATTATGGGCTGAATAGCCTAGGTTTCTAATACTGTGATAGATGTTTTTGACATCAGTTCTTCGTATTTCTTCACTTTGTTGCCACAAAGCTTACTTTATCCAGCAAATGGTAGCCCACATGCTCAAAACTGAAACAATGTAACCAGCTAGCAGAGCCTGTTAAGGGCATGCACTTGTCTTTTGCTGCATGGTTTCTGGAAACAGAGGTACTGCACCGGCATGATGACTGATGTGTGCATGCTGAGCAGACAACGAGATTAACTGTCAGAGACTCTGATCAACCAGTCAATCTCATTCTACATTTGGAGATGATAGCTGTATGATAATATCTTTCCTGAGAAGAAACCAAAACTACAAATATTCCAAGTGTGGTTTACCTAAGCTCCTGTATGATTGAAGACTTAAATAGGCCTGAACTCAAATCTACTGCTATTAGATAGGCATATGGATGATAGTATAAAGGTAGGGTGGAGGTTAGATAGACCTTAGGGCTAGGGTAAAAGTTCGGCACAACATCGTGGGCCGAAGGACCTGTACTGTGCTGTACTGTTCTATGTTCTATGTTCTACTTGCAATAAAGATGAACATTTCCTAACACTTGCTGCTCCTGCACGTTAGCCTTTAGTGACTTATTGACAAAGACACCCAAGTCTCATTGCACACCTAACGTTCTAACTCTTACCATTAAAGAAACATCCAGCTCATCTGTTCTTTCTACTGCATATCCTCACATTTATCCACATTATATTCTATCTGCCATGTTCTTGACTAATCACTAAACCAATCCAAATATTCCTGAAAATAAAACATTTTCACAACTCATGTTCCGCTTAGCTTTATATTATCGGTAGATGTGAATTATTACAGTGGTCCAGCAGTGACTTAAGAGAATTTGAGAGAAACAGTGGTCACTGGAAAACTGGAAGTACACAGCTTAATCAGAACCACAACCCTCAGGTATCATGCAGTTCAAACATTTTGCAGTTCTCTTTAAAAACGTTTCTCATAAGGAATGATGCAAGCTGAGGCTTTCCATCGTTTCCTCCAGAAAGAATCTGGAATTGATTTCAGAATGCATATATATTGGCCTCAAGGACTACATGGAAAAGGAGACTAAATATTATATGCCTACCTCAAAATGGGCATGAAGTCTTACACTTCTTCAGGATGGAAGTTAAATAAGCTAAAATTATTCTGATCTCACAAAGTTCCCTTCAACTTGAAAAAGAGGAGCTGGTGGCCATGGGACACCTCAGTTTCTTTTGGACAATGTAGTGGAACTTCATGTTCAAGCTGAAGCCACCGTCCAATACGTGCTTGAAGTCTGGATAACATACACTCACTTGCAAACGTATTTCACTTTGCGGTAATTCCCTCAAGTCTCCAGGAAGTCCCGAAAAGCATGTTGGTGCTACTGCCCTATTGATGGATAAGCCATCGATCACAACCTCAAGGTTAGTTAAAGTAAGTAACTGGAGATACCTAGAGATTAATATGAATAGTGCTTAAATATGTGATTCCTACCAAGATGCTATAACACGCCATTGTGGGTAATTCAAGAGGGTGGTGATTTTTGCACTGAAAAGGATGCACAAGACAGAGCTCTTCAAAACAGCCACAAAAACCTTAAAGTGGGACATTTATCATTTAACAACACAGATGTTTTATCACAATATTAGCATAAAGTTAAACTTAGCAATAATCTCAACTTAAATTGGCCTCTCAATGCAGATAATTTTATAAACAGCTTAAATGCTACTCCTTTACATATGCACACTGAGGATCCCTGGCAGTCTAGTCTGCACAATAGGTGTATGTACAATAGGAAAACCGTGAGATGTTGTACTTGAGCCATAAATGAAAAGACACTTCAGAAAAACATGCAAGTCTGTTAACACGATCAAACGTAAAACACAACAGGCACATCAAGAAGCAAAGCAAGCTGGTTGAATCCAAACAATATCCCCAGTAAGCAACTACAAGCACACCCAGCAAGTATCATGTAAGCAGTCACTCCCACAGTCCTCTAATTTTTTTTGCGAAGTGCAAAATCAAGCCACAGTGACAGAAAGGAAGGGAATGGAAAGGGAGACAGAAGGAAAAAGGAAGAGAAAATATAAAGCTTTAGTCACCTGACTGGTTAGGGGAGTGGCTGACCAAATCCCGAATGGGAGGCATGCCTAAGAAAAAGCAAGAGAACCATAAAGGGTGTCAAGGTTCAATATATTCTCAGCTCACTCTTGATCAAAAGAGTAAAACTGAACACGCTCATCAAAATTAAAACAAAACAAACTTTATCCAGCAGTTTATTAGTCACTCTCAGTACTACTGGTGTTCTTTTACTAATCTGAAGTAGTCCAGGACGCACAATGCACTGGATAGTGGCTCTCAATAGCACTATACTGCAAAAAAAAAGTTATTTAAGGACTCAACTGCAACAATTTCTACTGGGAATAAACTTACCAAAAGGCAGCTCAGATCACACTGAATCAGACATGATTCAATAACAGAGCTTTGAAACAACTGAACTACAGTGATGAAAAGGAAACTAAAACAAAATGAAGGGGAGGTGGGCTGTGACAGACCAATGTGTGTTGTTTGAGCAAGTGAAATGAATGGTGAGCTACTGGGTCAGGTTTGCCTGCTGTTAGAATTGCAATCTTTTAGGTGACAGGTCAAAAGTGAAAAAAGTCTGTCTTCATGTGGATCCAACAGATCAAGTCAAATATCTAGGCCCGCACTCATCCTTCAGCCAACATCTTAAAAAAACTACAGATGAACTCGTCATTTGCTTAATTACCACTTGTGGAACATCGCTGAATGAAAATTGGCCTTTTTTGACATTACAAGTAGGATGAATGACCTACTCCTGCTCTTGCATCTTGTATCTGTACATCAGAGGTCCTTTATCAGCTGTACTTTTAGTATTTTTCACCAAGTCATTGCCTAAGTGTAACGTAATTCACTCTCCAAGTGTACAATGTGCCAAAGTCACAAGGCAACAGGGGCTTTATTATGAAAGCATAATGGACATATTAATGAGAAATATTAATGCAATGAACAGTAATAAGTTCTTAGTCAACATCTTGAGTTATGATAATAGCAACACAAATATAACATTCTGCATTCTGTAAATGAGGAATTTAGCAGACATATTAATAAGGCTGCACAACTCAACTGTTAATCATCTCCCCCATGAACTCTCGAATGCAACACAGGGAACAAGTTGGCCAGGAGGACAGTTACCTATTGTTGTGCCAAGTAGAGAAAATGCAATCCTTAGATTGCCAAAGTTTCCCAAGAGATTCCTGTATACCAGGCCAAATTTTTCAATTAATTTATTACAAATAAATACTTAATATTCTAAGTAAGACATCAGGAAGACCTTGACAGTATTAACCCTAACATATGCTTCAATTCTCACTGTGGCCCCATTCAGCCAATTCATTCCCATTCACCTTTGAAAAAAATATTTTAAGTTTCAATCTGATCTAGAGCATCTTTTCCAAAGATGAAAAACATCAAGCATACACAAGTATTCAACATGCAAGTTAAACTGTCATAACAGGGTTGGATGACGAAAGTGAAACTTGTACTTATGAACTCTCAAAAGTTCATTAAATAAAAACTGTTGGCTGGCTGGATAGGCTTGCATAGCTGCAAGTGGCCAATTGCAATTCTTGTGGAACTAACCTACAATATTACCATGAAAACTTTTGGCACTAGAATACATGGCTAGTGCTGAAGTACAGTTGTGCAGGTCTTCTCACAAAACCTTTACTCAAGATTCTACAAAAGAGTGTTGAACAACACTGACAGGGGAAATTCTACAGATTTACAAGTCCAGAGGAGTTAAACTAGCTAAATTTCACAGAGATCTGGCACAGACTAATTGTGCCTCCTTCTAGGATGTAATCAATTTATGATTTTGCTTTCATAAGATAATTAACCATACATTAAAAATCAGTAAAACTCAGAAAAAAAGTGTTACTGGCAGGCTATTAAAGAATACTCCTGAAATATTAAAAAAGCAGGAATGTATGGCAGCTATCATTACAAGCAATTAGACTGAGCATTTTGACAATCAGATCCCACAATCGTTGTGAGCTCATCATTAAAAACAGCTTCAAAGGGCTGGGAATTTTTCATTTTGAAAAGGTCCTTACGTTTGTCCTAACCAGCCAAGACAAGTTGTGATTCCAAGTGTTCCCCTACTATCACTTCAGTCACTTGCCTTGTCTCATTACCCAAGATAAGGTAAAGTTTTGGTCCTTCTCTAGTAGGAACATTTACATATTGATAAAGAAACTTTTCTTGAACACACTTAAATTCTTCACCACACAAACCTTTAACACTACGGTAGTCCCAGTCAATGTTTCGAAAATAAAAATCACCTATTACAATCTTATTATTCTTACAAATAATCAGAGACGTCTCAACATATTTGTTCCTCAATTTCCCTCTGACTATCGGGAGGTCCATTATGCAACCCCACGGTTTTGTGCCAGGGAAATCTGGTCTCACAAACTTGATTGAGTTTTTTGAGGGAGTAACCCAAGAAGATTGACGAAGGCAGAGCAGTAGATATTGTTTATTTGGACTCTAGTAAAGCCTTTGACAAAGTTCCACATGGTAGACAAATAAGTAAAAAGTTAGATCATATGGGATTCAAGGTGAGCTTGCCAACCGGATACAAAATTGGCTTAATGGCAGGAGATAGAGTGTGATGGTGGAGGGTTTTGTTTTCCAGACCAGAGACCTGTGGCCAGCAGTGTTCCACAGTGCTGGGTCCACTTGGTTTGTCATTCATATCAATGCTTTAGATGAAAATATAGACAAGTATGATTAGTAGGTTTGCAGATGACACCAAGATTGGTGGTACAGTGGACAGTGAAGAAGGTAATCTAAGGTTACTAAGAGATCTTGATCATTTTGATCAATAGGTTGAAGAGTGGCAAATGGAATTTAATTTGGATAAATACGAGGTATTGCACTTTGGTAAAACAAACAAAAACAGGACTTACACAATTAAAAGTAGGGCCTTGGGCAGTGTTGTAGAAGAGACCTAGGGGTTCAGGTACATAATTCTTTGAAGTTTGCATCACAGATAGGTTGGTTTAGCATGCTTGCCTTCATTTTTCAGCTCTGAGAGTATAGGAGTTGGGATGTTATGTTGAGATTGTATAGGACATTGGCGAGGTCTCTTCTGGAGTACTGTGCGCAGTTCTGGTTGCCCTGTTATAGGAAGGATATTATTAAGCTGGAGAGGGTTCAGAAGAGATTTAACAGGATTTTGCCAGGACTGGAGTGTTTGATTTATAAAGGAGAGGCAAGATAGCCTGGGACTTTTTTCATTGGAGTGTAGGAGGTTCAGAGTTGATCTTATAGAGGTTTATAAAATAATGAGGGGTATAGATAAGGTGTTCTTTTACACCCAGGTTGAGGGATTTGAAGATCAGAGGGCATATTTTTAAGGTTAGAGGAGAAAGATTAAAAAAAAAATGTTTAAACAAAGAGGTATAATTTGTTTTTTTAAACAAAGTGGTTCATGTGTGGATTGAACTTCCAGTAGTAGTGGTGGATGCGGGCACATTTACAACATTTAAGAGACATTTAGATTAGTACATGAGTAAGAAATGTTTGGTGGGATATGGGCCAAGTGCAAGCATGTGGGACTACGGTTGGCATGGGCTGGTTGGACCGAAGTGTTTGTTTGCGCGCTGTATGAAGATTACAACCTCTGGCTTGGAGTACGAGAATGAAAGAATATAGTAGTACACACAGTGGTACAATGTATTGATACTCAAGTGTGCAATGCCAGAGGAGAAACCTTACAACCTTCATGACGCATCTGCAGAACGTTACAATTTTATGTGCTAAAACCAGAGTCTTGCATTCCAAACACTTGTCTCTGCAGGCAAATTTCGTTAGCAGGAAAGGCCGTTACACTTGTAGATAACGGAGTAACTATACTGACAGCCACAGATCCAGCTAAGAGTTTCTATCTGAAGACAGGACTACCAATTCAATCCAATCCAAAACATTCAAAAGTTGAACATGCATTCACAGTTAATTGATCCTTTCTTGAAATTCTGAAACGAAGCACTTAATTAAATGCGATGCTCTAGTCACTAGCATCATTTGCAGTAGAGTGATAAGCTAGCCTGAATGCTAAAACGATAAGGCAGTCATATGAGCAATTCTCGAATCACAGAATCTCAAGTGTAGAAGTAGGCCATTCAGCCCACTGAGTCCACACTAACCCTGTGAAGAACATCCCACCCAAACCCTCACCCTACCCTATCCTTGTAACCCCGTACTTCCTAAGGCTAAACCACCTTGCCTGCCCATCCCTAGATGCTATGGGCAAATTTAGCACAGCCAATCCACCTAACCTGCACATTATTGGGACTGTGGGCGGAAACTGGAGCACTTGAAGGAAACCCACGCAGAGAGAATATCTGTATGGAATTTGCACAGTTGCCCAAGGGTGGAATCGAACCGGGTCCCTGGCGCTGAGGCAGCAATACTAACCACTGAGCCACGGTGCAATAATAATTGATTATCAAAAATTTAAGTGCCAAAGCTACTTATTGGTGCATGGAATTATGCAAAATTAGTTACCTGTCTGAGTTTTGCTGCTGTTTTGCAGCTGCCCGTTGGTTACTGGATGTGGAGTAACAGCACTGCCTCCAGACAAATTACTGAGTACTGGTGATGCGGTCCCAGCTGACGGTAGTTGCTGGCCTCTTTTCAGCAGTTGCTTTTGTTCCTGGTGTCGAAAACGCGGCGGTACTTCACGAGGTGGATAACGAGACAAGGCTTGCTGCTGAGTGTTGGCTGGGACACGCTTGGCATTGCTACTGTTGCTGGTAGTTGTGGAAGTGCCGCTGTTGGGGTTGGCAGGCTGAGGCTGGCTTTGACTGGTCTTGGTTGGTTCTGGCACTTAACGGGGGAAAAAAAAATTCATCAGTTAGCACCTGTTGTATGAAGAGCATATTGAATATCCACTACATTAATGAGCACTGAATCAGAAATGGGTTGGTGGGAGTCTCAATCTGGTTAATTTCACACACAAATCTCCGAAAGATACAAGCAGTGGACAGCTAAAAATCAGAGCTCCCTGTTAGCATACGGGTAACCTAATTTCTCTCAATAGGAAAGGAATAGTTCAAGTTTCCAAGAAAAGAATAGGATGCATCAATGGAGTGAAATCTGCAGTAATTTAAAGAACTCCATCATCTACAAAAATATTCTTATCGGACTAATTAAAAATATAATTGATAATAATGGAGCTTAATGTGGAAGTTCATGTAGTCAACAGTAATCCAAGCACTGAGGTGCTAGATTGTTTGAACAAACATATACCGAATTATACTGGATGAAGGGAAGGCTGAACAGGGGGAAAAAACCTTCTGCGGAGCCTGGACAGCACACAAAGTCTCTCTTGCAATATACAGACTTGCATGCTCTTACAAAGTACAAAATCTACAAAGTATATGCCCCAAATAAGGATTACGATTTCACCTCAATATCTTTAAAAAAGGGTATTTGCAAAATTATGCACCCTGATAACATTTTCAAAAGGTAGAATTTAATCTAGAGCTCATCAAATGATATTCAACCAAAAATAGTCAGAAACTGTAGATCAAATATTTGAGGCTGTATAAAAAGGACAAGGCCACACTTTTTCTCCAAACAGCAATGCTCATATGCCCATAAGGTCAGCATCACACCGAGCTACTGAAATCACGAAGACTCCATGTTGTAACATTGTCTTCAAACACCTTTTATGAAGGGTTGAGACCACAGTTTTTCCTCTTCATACAGCAACCCTTGCCACGCAAGATCCACAGACATGAACAAACTTGTTTTAAGCTTCATTCAGAAAAAGACTGGAGTCCTCTGGCTGTATTTCTGGTAATCTCCATATCGTGAGGGCTCAATGCACGAGAAAAGCAGCTACAAATCTCACTTTAAGGATACAGAATTTTAGATACTCATTACAGTGCACAAGCCTTGCTCCTATATCCATTCCCTGATCCCTATCAATCCAAAGCAGGGTTGGCACAACACTAACCTAATTTTCTGCTATTTTGCAGCTACATAAATACTAAGGGGCAAGTAGAAGAGTTACCCAGGCACATGATTCTTGAAAGATGACACGTCAGTGGATGTTCACAATGGACAATACTGAATATCTGATCACCTGAATTCTTCTCAATCAAGCTGCTACCTTTCCCTCCAAGCAATACAATCTATTTTCCCTTTCTCTCTCCCAAAAACTCTAAACTACATCCTCTTGATTAGCTGAGCTCCTATTACTTTAATTGAATTCATGAGCAGTGTCTTTCCTGGTAGTTTTGTGGAATATTGAACTGAATAGGTTTATGTAGCTGCCATACACTATACACTGTACATTTTCAAATCCAAAGAACAAAGTATAATTTGCCCAGAAGGAGCTGAAGAGAGACCACCCTATGTTTTGTACTTCCCTCCCACCAACCTACCTTGTACCCCACCCTATCACTGCATTGCAGACACTTGCTTTGTTATATTCCAGATTACAAACTTTGAAGATCAGTGGCGAAATGAATGCCACAAATCTATGCATTGTGTGTTTGCTGCACAAACGTTCAACTAATACAGCCAGCTAACAGTCACAATATCTTGGTAACTGAAGGCTTCATAAGGAATAGACACTCCATGAGAGTTGAGTGGATGATTCAAGCTCAAGAAGGCTTTGAAAAAAAATTGTAAATAAATAAATTCTTGGTAATATCTGAAAACTGAATTTCATAGCAAATAAATCTAAAGGTCACCTGTCAATCAATTCTTTAAATATTGAAATAGAACAGATATTGCAGGGAAAAATGTATAGATTCAGCACAACTGGTTATAGGATACATTGATCAATTAGTATCTACGAGCAATGAGTTAAATGGGCAAAAACCAAGATAATGCAGTGAGAAAGTGATGTCTAATTTCTTAGTTAAGCTTTATACTATTTTCTAAACCCAAAGACTTTACATTCAATAGGGCATTACCACATCACAGAAATGTCTCAATGGCATTCTGCACTGAAGTGTTTAAGTGCAATGGCTTGTTCATACAGCAAGTTCCCACCCAAAATTATTCAAGTGGTTTTAGTGGCCACAGTCCTGATTAAGTTCAGATGCTAAAAACATAGAACAGCACCATAATGCCTCACATAGTATACTAATTGCATTTTTGAAACATGCAACTTTAAACAAAACAACATTAAGCAAATTGGATTTTTCAATAACTAATGTGAAAACTTTACTAAAGGTTCTGTGGGACTATTCCTGTAGGGAAAAACGGAACATTAACCATTATATCCTGTAAATTTAAGTACTTCGCACTGTTAAAATTACTATATACATAGACTAAATAACTTCTAAAGCATTCTTTTAAGTTGAGAAATACGCTAACTGTTCAAATTACCTCCTGTCCTCACATCAGCTGCTTGCCACTTCATGCTCCCCAACTCTCCCACTCACTGCCTCTCATGCTCTCTGAACGCACCCCCCACCGCAATTTGCCACTGCCCTCTCCTCAACTCTGCCTGTGAATTAGGGCTCTAGAGATAAGCAGCAAGAGGCAGGAAGGAACTAAGAATGACAGCAACTTTGAGTTGCAGAGCTATACAGGCAAGCCACAAATTGGTGGCGTAGCAATTAGGCAGGTGGGACAGTGGGAGAGTCAGGGACCAAAAACAAGCCACTCCAAAGAAACACTGATCAGCTCACACCCTTGAAACTGGGGGGAAAAAAAACACAGATGGAGTGTTCTCACCTCAAAATTTCTCTAGTTGGAAAGTATCTATTCTATGTATCCCAAAACATACCTTAAATGTCAGGCACTGCATCTCTGTTTGCCCGTGCATCTTAGCTAGCTCTCTTTCCATGGTTGTTCTTAAATTTTAAAATGTTCGTCATGGAACCATTTTTCTCTCTCTCAAAATGAATGTAAAATTCAACTATATTATGGTCATTGTCACCCAGGGATACCTTCACTACCAGATCATTAGTTAATCACCTGCCCTCTGATTGGTTCTGGAACATGAAGTTTAATTTATCCCAAAAACATGCAATGAACCAACCTAGGATACCTTAGCACATCTACGTGTAGATTAAATCTCCTGTGATTATGACAATACTTTTCTGACACGCCATTACCTTTGCCTTCATGTTCCATGCTTCAATATGTTTACTGTTAGCAGGCCTCTACATGACTCAACCATTTTTTAAAATCTCTACCCAAACTATTTCTAATCATTATTGGCTAAACTTAGGTTATCCCCTCTACTGTGCTAAACCATTATTAACATAGTTATCCATACAACTTTTTTTAGCTCCCTACCCTTAATATGTCATGCTCAAGTCCCAATATATGTCATCTTGTAGCCGTACCATTGTAATGACCACTAAATCAAAATTTATTGGTTTCTATTTGCACTATCAATTTATCTGTTTTGTTTCAAATTTTACATGTATTCAATAGAGTGTTTAGTTTTGTCATTATTTATTTTGTAACATCTAACCTTATTTGTGATTTACTTAGATTTTTATAAACTATTACTTCATGGTCAGTTCATCATTTCTCACATCAATACTTATTCTCTTCCCTCTGATATACCAAACTTCTTCAGTTCCTAAGAGTCATAATGGACTCAAAACGTTAACTGTTTGTCTCTCCGCAGATGCTTCCAAGCCTGCAGTTTCTCCACTATTTTGTATTTGTACCATGCCATCTTACGTGGCTTAACTAATTAAGTAGATTATTAAATCAATTAATGTCTCTTCTCATCACCACTTTACTAACTTAAACCTTAGAATCTAATAAATGTTACCACTTAAAATGAAAATAAACAAAGAAATCACTAGAGTTGTACCTCCCTTCTGTTAGAATCTCTTAAATAAACTGAGTAATTACAGATTATTGACAAAATCTTATTCTCTCAAGTACAAGGTTAGACCTTTCTGTGGAATGATTCACAGTATAATTGTCTTTCAAAGGGACACGGTAGGACACAAGGATAAGGAAACAGCATTCAGATTTTCCAAAATGCTGTTTGTTCTCTTTTAGAATACCTTAGATTCGGCCACCTAGGAGTAGACATTTATATCTGAATACATCCTAGGGGCCTTCACCTTCTTCTTATCTTGAGCAGAACTCTTACCCTCTTATCCCTGCCAGCCCATAGCCTCAAAAACTTGAATCAGGAAAAGCCTCAACTAAATTTGCATTCAGTACAGTTGCTGACAATTGATTCCCAAAGTCTTCAAGTAGCTGCTCATTACTTTACATAAAGCATCTGCAAGCTTACAATAGGAAAGGAAATGAAACTCCAGCCTGATGAAAAAATTTGGTTAATGGATTGAGTCTGGGGAGCTGCAGCACTCAGCTTGTTTCCATTTTTAAACTGCTGAACCTCATTTTGGTGGTTGCTAATTTTTAATTTTACTTTGATAGACAGAAGGTTAGTGTCACCAAACCTTACAGGACAATGTTTGAAAGAACAAGTGTCAGGTAGCCAATTATTAGTTCATTCATGATCAGCTAAATCAATACTGTAGCTCATTTGGGGAAGCAAGTGATACTAGTTGCCGAGTCTGTTTGATTTGAGGACTTGCGGCACAATGGTAGTGTCCCTAGCTCTGGACTAGGAGGCTCAGTTTGAAGTACCACTTCCTTAACAGACATGTAATTACATCTGAAGATGTTGTTTAGAAAATATCTACCCAATACAGCCTAAATACATGAGCACTAGTGATTTTAAGGTTGATCAAGTTGGAAAGAGTAGCTTTGACAACAAATTCAGAGCGCATTAGGTATAGTTTTCTCCATCAATACAGCATTGAACAAAACAGGGAGCAGGCTACCTTGAATCTGGCAATGGGTAATAAGGCAAGTTTAATAAA